CACTCAGTATTTTCGATGCATCATGTTCCTTATATAATTATTCATGGGCATAAAAAGTTTCAGAAGCCTGACATTATTTTTCCTACACTTTTTTAATCAATGAACCTAACAATACTGCTGTATATTGCTAATCTCCATAGGAACACATGTTAATTTTAAATTACTATAACTCTGAAGCAAGCTCGTGAATCTCCATAAAAATTTATACATGATTTTACTATGGAATAATCTATTTATTTTTAAAACTTGAAGTTTGACTTATAGCCCAAACATCCTTACGTTATTAGCAACATACGAAATATTTGAGCAACCGTCTGAGTCACTGTATGCTTTAATCGTTAGTAGTCAGGCTTGCCATTCTCCTTAAGTGCATGCTTCGAATGCAATAGATTCCAGGTGCACTTTCGAACCGACTCGCATAAGATACTGTCTAGTCAGCTTCTTAAATACCATATCTGCGTGTCTATAAACATAACAATGTACGTACATATGTATATATGTATGTATGTATGTATGTATGTATGTATGTATGTATGTATGTATAATACTAGCCAGAAGAGCCATATGACCCACTTCCTTCGGCCTCACTTTAAAGGATCGCGGCCCCATCTGCGCGAAGGTCATCACTCATCGCGAATGGCAGGTGGTAAAATAAACCTAAGAGCGATATGACTAGTGTCTGGGAGAACTTTATTGTCACGACATGCAAAGTGAATCAATCACGATCTCTTACGTCACGTAAAGGAGATCCGTGTGTTATAATTTATGGAGCGGTCGTGCGTGATTCGTAAAACAATCGAGCTGAATGTTACTCATGCTGTCGACGGCGATCTTGAAACCATGACGCGCTTAGCTGTTTACAGATTTTTTCCTATCGACGGTCTGTTTTGTAGACAGATCGCTACTTTTCGATCACTTGTAAGTGATAAGGGATTGATAGGAATCGTTGAAAGGCTGTTCGGTAACTATGATTGACAGTCTTAGTTGCTGAACTTCCGACTTCTTTAATGTTATTAAATAAAGGGAAAGTTGTTGATAATTTTTCGAGATATAGCTATGACTTGTGTCTGACATAAGATCTCTGGAAAATTGCTGAGTTCACATGAAAAATCATGATAGATGTCGACCTATAAGAAAGTTCAAGGGTCGTGCCGCGAACGTTCGGCACATAATAACCATAAGCACATCGATTCTTGGCTATTTTTTACATGAAAACAGTTTCACTTTCAAGATTTCCACGACCTTCGAATATGATTCAAACTATGGTTCCGTATTGATCTATGAGTTCAACGAACATCTTTGATCCCGCGCGTTACTGATCGAAGTTTGGAAACTGATTCGACGATAAAAATGAAAAGTGGTCTGTTCGCGATGGCATAATCACGGTAAATTGCTTGAAGTTGTAATAATGTGGGCCGGCGGAAGAAAAAATTGAGGTCGATCTACGGACACCGTTGGATCATGAAAGAATCTTTTCTGCGTTCCGTGACATCAGCGCGGAAATAATTACTAAATCGACCAGGCAACGTTGGAGCGCGTCCTCGGGAATTATAACGACAAGGATTACACGTACGACGCGCTTATATGGATCTGGAATTGCTGTTGCGTTCGTGAAACAGCATTCCAAGACTTTCGTCAGGAATATTTCGAAAACGTTTATCTAATCGTGTGTTAACAGTGTCATCTAACAATTTCACTACATATTCGTCTAGGATGTCGATGGGATATGTGAATTGATGTATGATTTACGCAGATATCTTATTCCATCTTCCATGAAAATTATTTATTAGTTAGTTTTATATATTCCTAAACAATTAAGTAATTTCATTACTCAAAGTCCATAACTTTTTTTAACGCTGCTGCGTTTCACGTGCGCCAACTTGATATCTTTATGTGTTTGTCTTGGAAGTTAGCGTTCACAGTCTGACATTATTTGCCGATTTTTATTTACCTTACTTGTTTGATCATGTTCGCAGAAGAAGAAGAAGAAGTAAGAAAGGATGGGGTACGGCACGGAAATGGACGGCTGCGGCCGCTGTATGAAGTACGCTCTGTTCTTCGTTAACTTCGTAATCTTTGTAAGTATAAAACACATTTGAATTGTCGCTGCGACCCCCAGAGAAATGGAATTAAAGTGAAATTATATTTTCAGATCGGTGGAATCGCGATAGTTGGGCTTGCAGCGTGGGCCCTGTTAGATAAAGTACCATGGATAGGCGAGCTAGTGGGCAACGACTTGCTAACAGGAGCCACTTACATTCTATTGGCCGGTGGTATCGTCGTCGCAATCGTATCGTTCTTCGGTTGCATCGGTGCATCCCGGGAAGTCAAATGCATGCTTCTCACGGTAAATCTTTTTTTAAATCCTTAAAAAAAGGCAGCTACCTCGCTCTGACTCTTAAAAATATATTCCAGTATTGCATCATCATGTTCCTTCTGTTCGTGACGATGTTAATCGGAGGCGTGCTCGCGTACGTTTTCCGCGAAAAACTGGTGGGCACGCTCGAGAGGGAAATGACGAGCTCGATGAGAGTATACGATAGCCGCAGAATAGTCAGGGAAGCTTGGGACACGACGCAATCGACGGTAATCAAACGTTCGAACGAGGAACACTTTCCGATCTACGACAAATCTCAGCCGTCTGATTTGTATTTCTTTGTACGATTTCAGCTTCACTGCTGCGGTGTAAACGGCTGGAGGGATTGGGGAAATCAGGGTCTAAGCGTACCGGAGAGCTGCTGTCGCGAGATTCAACCAGGCCAGGTAAAGATTAATTTCCTTAACGAGCTCGTCCTCGGAGACGAAGTAGCCGCCGGCGAATTCGTGTATACGTAATTGCAGTAATTAGTGATTTACGCGCGGTACTTGTACGAACCGCGTCGTCTGCACTCTATAGCCAGTACGAAGAGTCTAGCGTTATTACCTCCATGAGATTCAATTAGATTTCGAGAACCGACAGGGAAAAAAACGAATCTGTCTGGCGCCGAGTATACACAATTGTTTCCAATTTGTGTCTGCCTGCATGATTCATGAACAGCATTGCTCACGCTCCAAATCGTCGAATCTCTATGTGTACAATATGTATATCTAAAGTTTCAAAGTCTGTCCGTATTGAAAGAAGACGAATTCTCTGCTTTTGTTTATACTGTTAAACAATTACAATCGAAAAACATGGAGAATACCAACAGCCAATTTGACAGACAACTGCCACAGTATCGACCAACGATAATCAACGTCGAACGTTCGGATATTACTGCACGTTACGTGTGCATTCGTGATATCACCGAGGAGAGATTACTAAAGAGTGGCAACGCCTGTGTTAACGCGCGGCCCGAAAAAAGGGCCCAAGAGGGCTCGAACTGGCAAGGTAGATTTATGAAATTCCACAGAATGACTGTTCCGGAGTGTACCGACCTTCAGGCTCACCGATGCCGGTGCCGATGCTTTTTTCCAGCACGATAGGTAATAGGTAACCGTAGAACGTTGATATTATCAACGTTATACTTGATTCGAAATTAGTACTTTTCAAATTTTGTAACACTTGTATTACTTTATTTTCATTAGTGCACACCATATTTTGCATTTGAAGTAAGAATAAAAGTAATTGGCATTTAATATCTTAATGAATATCAG